GAACAATTATCAAATCACATCTCAGAATTTTTATCGATAAAATACATAATTTACATAAAACACACCCCTACGATTCAATCTGGAAGATCTTCATCACGGATTTCCGATCCGTTACTTCCATAGATCCACATTATACTTCTAGAACATAATACTAAAGTTTCATTACGATTCAACGGTTGGATCTCCACCAATTGCCAATTCAAGTGGTGGTCAATGTTTTATTTTACGAACTTACAAATCTACTTTGGGAAGATCCGTACTTCAGGTTTCCAATCCATAAGTTTCTAATATCCTCAAATATTACCTACTATAATGTATTAAAATTTGGTGACGATCCAACGGTCAGATTGTCAATTCATACAAGGATCTCTTGATGGCCAACTAGGTGATCAACTATGAAACTACATTAAACATCATAATTTCCCTAAATGGATGTCAAATATGGAATTGGGGCTTAAAATTTAGCATAGGAAGGTTAGGTGGAGTCTCGACCCACGTGCCGCCACACGGGCCGCCGCGGGTGGTGGCCGGCCACCACGGTTCGTCGGAAAATTCCACTATTTCTAAAAATTCTCAAATTTCACAGAAATGAAGATCTCAAAGAGAGGAACAACTTTCATACCTGCCACAAAGTCCAAAAGTGGACGGAAGATGGTCAATTTGTCCCACAAAGCGGGCAGGTGCCTAAAGCTTTTCAGCGTCAATTCGTCGTCTACAGTGGTCCAATGAGGTTAAGGTTGGTTGGGATTTTCTCCTGATGGGCTACAAAGCCCAAGTGGTGGCATTGACCATTGCTTTGCCGATTCACCAAAAAATTGAAAAGAGTGGTCGGACACAATTTTGACGCGTCGGATTTCGTGGCTTTGCCCCGCCACATGTGGTGGTTTATAAAGGTGGTTCTTGGTTGGGTTTTGTAGAGGGGAATGAGAGCTTCAAGATGGTGGTGGCGTCAAAAAACTCCATCGGAGTTGGCCGGAATCGGCCTTAGAAAATGCAAGGTCGCGAAGGTGGTTTTGGGTTGTGCACGGGAAAGAGAAGCTGGGAACTTCTCTCCCTTTCTCTGATTGGCTGCTACCCTCATCCTCTCCTTTTGATTGGTCACTCACTCCTTTATCTAATTGGTCCTTTACTAACCTATGTCTGATTGGGCCACTTTCCCACAAGGTGGGAATTCAAATAATTTATAACTAAGCTTTAAATAACCATTTTCAAATGTCCATAACTATACCATTATAACCTAGACTAGCAAACAGCTTTCGCCTATGCGTTCGTACCAACGAGTACTATGAGGATATGCTAAAACAATAAGTCCTACATCTCTTAAACCAATGGTCAACGGGAGTCAAAGTCCTTGCCTCTAGGACATTTTCGTAAATTCACGCTTTTAAAATTAATAAAAACATAAAATTAGGGACGGGTTGTCACACTCTCCGTCCCTTATAATTGTTCAGTAAATCAAGCCTATAACAATATCAAATTTAATAAAAAAAAACTGAAAATTGCAACTAATAGTCTGAATCCATAAAACATATGAGCTTCAAGGACGTACAATTTGCGTTTTTATTCATCCTGCTTAATAAGGGGTAAATGTAATTTTTCTACTTAATAATAAATATAAGTTGTCACTTAGTACTACGGTTTAGTACTAATAATAAATATAAGTTGTTACTTAGTACTATGATTTAGTGTTATTCTTCTTTACTTGTAAGAGACAGGTCTTAGGTTCAATTATTGCCAAAGGCGAATTTGAACCACATTATTGCTAGCCTATTGTGAGGCTAAGTCATCCTTCTCCCTCGTAGTATAGAACATATTGTTTGTTAAAATTTTTTTTTATAAATATAAGCCTATTGACTAGGTCTAAAACAAAAAAAATAATTATTGACATATGGCTAACTGTTAAAGATTTCTTTGATTTATACGGATGGGGCGTTGAATGTCAATACCAAGCTGGGTGGTGTTGGAGTAGTGATACGAGACTGAAGGGTGGTTTCTTGGCGGCAGGGGAGCATCAATACCCATGCATCACTTATGTGCCGCTCCTGGAGTTATTTGTTGTGAGGTACGGACTGCAATTGGCCGAGAGCAAGGTTTTCAACAGGTCGTGGTGGAGAGTGATTCCATGAAGGCCATATCAGCACTTATAAGAGCACCTATTCAGACTCTTATTATGTCTTAAAAATCCCTCATATTTTCTTCATACTCTTATTACATATCTTAAAATTTTCATCATTCATTGTATTCTTGATTCAAAAGAAGGAAAAAAAATCTCTTATTTTCTCATAAACCAAATCTGATGCATCTCAAATTCATATTGTTGTGAAAAAGAAATGAAAAAAAAAATCATATTCAGGTCAAAATTCGAAAGGTCTTCATTTTCATCTTAGGCCTCAATTTGAATAAGGACAACTTTGTAAGCGATAATGGGGAAGGGGAATAAACTCAAGACTTTAGACGTGCAAGAGTCAATGCTCTTAATCAACTGAGTTACAAACGACTTGCCCATTAGACTCATAATGGATACTTTGAACGGTGAGCAAATACGGTATCATATTCCGGATGTTTCTAATTCATTATCTAAATAACACTGAATATAAAGCCTTGTTCCATGTTATATAGGTTGTACTTCATTCCAACCTTGCTCGCTCTTTTTTATTTAAATCTTCACATTTCCTTGCTTTGATGTAAGATTGCATAACAGCCACCTCAAAGTAGAAGCATTTTTCATGATGAGAATCCTTTCCGGATCCTCATTGGGAGGATTCCAGGGATCAATCCATCTTAACCGTTCATCATACATCATGCAACCATTTTTCGTTAGATACTGTTTGTGTTCAATTTTAAATAAAAAATTCAAAATGATTTTTGGCTGCAGGATTAGACTTGGCATTCGTATCATGTTTTCCGTGTTCGTGTCATACCCGACATCTTAACGGGTCGTGTTGTATAACAGCCATTAAAATAAACGGGTAAAATGACCCGACCCGATAATATTAATAGATAATATGACCCGACCTGTTACCTGTTAAGGAAAATATATTTTAAACTAATAAATAATCAAATGAAAAACATAATACTAAATAAGTGTATACATACCATATTGTCACATCCAAAACATAAAAACGCATTTTTCTTTTAAGTATATTTTCGCTTACCTAAATTGATCAAATGGGAAAATTGGAAAATATTGGCATAGAGAAGGGGTTTTTTCGTCCAAAAAAGTTCTAATAATATAAGTGAAATAGAATCCAACGGTACATATTTACTCTCATTTATCTTACGGCTATTATTTAAGTAAAGTCTTTAATAGTTTTTTAATTAATGTCGAAGTGTAAAAAATATAGAAAAAATATTTAAACGCTTGTAATGGCAAGCTTTACAACTTTTATGAAGAGATTAACTTCGAAATTCGCCATTATAATCATATAAATCATAGATCAAAATTTAACCATTGATTGTTGTTTACATTTACACTTCATTATTCTCATCAAATTTTGTTTTTTCAGATTTTCTTTTTTTAAAACATGATCTATTAGAGGATGCAGGACGATGAACGGTTTGGATCGTTGATATTATATTCAAAGTTTTACGGTTAGTGAAAATATTGCTTGATGTTTATAAAGTTTTTACAAACTATATGACATCGACTCATATTTCAGTTAACCGTAAATATCGAAACATGATATTAAAGATTTGAACCGTTCATCTTCTTACATCCGCTAGATGATCATGTTTTCAAAAAAGAAAATTTTAAAAATGAAATTCAGTAAGAAGAATAAAGTGTAAATGACAATCGATGGTTAAATATAAATTTAAGGTTTATGGATAGTGTTGGATTTTGAAGCTGACCTCTTCATAAAAGTTGTAAAGCTTGTCACTATAAGTGATTGTATATTTTTTTGTTTTACATTTTTTACACTTCTACAATAATTATTATTAATTTTATTAATTTTTCCCTCAAATAAAAAACATTATTCATGAGGGTTTGGAGGATTTTAAAAATCTAAACGATAACGTAAGTGTAACCATTATCTACTCGTGAAGGAATAATGATGAATCACGAGTTTTTATATATTCTCTCACATTTTTCATTCTTTCACATTTTTCATATTTGTATGTATTTGTTCTTAGTTCTTGCCTATACAAATACTATACTAGTTTATTTTAATTTTGGACAACAACATGTTAAGTAAAATTTATCTACTAATGATAATAAGGAACTCTCATAATAAAAATAAATAATGACTAAAACTTTTTTTTTTAACTTATATAGAATAATAATAGACAACTATACATTTAATATAGAATATATTGTATATATTAATATGGCTATTGTATTTTATAATAAATCTTTTAGTAATTAAACTTTAAAATTATCAAAATAATTTTTTTTCTTAACAGATCGAAACAGGTTACCCATGTGCATACCCGTTAAGAACCCGTTATTAACGAGTCACCCAATAATGACTCAATTAGTTATCGTGTTGATCCGAAACTCATTATTTTCGTGTCGTGTCAGAAATTGCCGGGTCTATGCAAGATGATTGATGGACGGATATACCGTTCATCATACATCATGTAACCAACTTTGATTATATACTGTTTGTGTTTAATTTTAAATAAAAAATTCGAAATAATTTCTGACAGCAAGATGACTGATGAACGGATATAATAAACTGATCCTAGGATTCCCATAAAAAAGATTCAGATAGAATCCTATTCCCATTTTCCAAAGCATCACTAGAAACATTCCTCCAGCTGTTTTTATCCCAAAAAACAAAATCCAACCCACCACCTCAATAAAACCGAACAAAGTCATAAACCTATAAGCTTCCAAAAAATCATAGTTGTCCAATGTTGTACTCCTGTAAACAACTTCCAAATTTTTTGTCCACCTTGATAAGAATTATGCTAGCATCAGCCACACATGCACAAAGCTAGCACAACTCGAATTGAGAACTCAAATGAAATAAGCTAAGCGCATAGAAGATATAAACCAATGTAACATTCAAGCAGAAGTTCATATTATATATAAAAAAACTGGGAATCGAATTTTGTTCACAATCGAAAAGGAAAAAAATGAAAAACAGCCAATATAACAGAGAAAAATTTGACAACCCAAATCAGGGAATCAAATTTTATTCACAATCCAATCAAATGGACTTCACTTTTCACTTCATATTTTTGATCGAGAACTCCAATCAAAAGCAGGCATCGAGCAGACAGCAACAGCACAGAGCAGCCAAACTGCAACATTCATAAAATCGGATAACAAGTTGGGAAAAGTATTACACATTGGGAAATGCAGTGCAGCTTAAAAAAAACGAACAGTGAGGTACTTTCCCTGTCTAGAAACGACAACATTCTATAGGTGTACTACAGAAGATTATTGTCGTATGTACAACCTCAAAAACATCAAACACCACTTAAATGACTGGGTTGCCCTTGACTTTGATGACATAACATAGAACGAGTTTCAATTTCGAGAATGATATAATAAATAGATAAAAATGACTAATTAATGGAATGCATTCTTCTAAGCAAAGAATGTAATCTTATGTGTTTTAATTTTTTCAATCAGCATTATATTATTAGTTTACAATGTCACAGTGGATTCGTGTTGTATTCTTTTTGTCCTTTTTTTTTTATAAAAAATTAATATAAAATATTGATGTGATTTAATCGTGATTATTTAAATAAATATCTTCTTCCGTTTGGTAAGTATCTTCATGAAAAAGGGTAATTTGGGAACAAAAGTCATCGCCCCCCGGCCAAGACTAGGACTATTCATGTGAACCCATCTTTCAAGAAAAAAGGTGTAAAACAGGATTGACTAAGACAACCACCAGGGACCGAGTTGACTCAGTGCCAAACTCAACAAGACCAACCCAGATCTGAGTCAAGACTCAACTCAGTTTCACAGATTTTACAAAACGAAATACAGAAAGTAAAGAAGTAGAAGAAGAAGAAGAATAAGAAGGAAATTACATACCAGCCCTCCATACAGCCACTGCTGCTGCTTTGTTGTTGTTGGGGGGGAGGCTGGGCATACTGAGGGGCGTAGGGAGGAGGGTACCCTTGGGGGTACCCCTGAGGTGGAGGGTATCCCTGCGGTGGATATACCGGCGGTGGATAAGCGTCTTTAGGATATCCTTCCGGTGGATAACCTACTCCAATTCCAATTTACACAAACAAAAGTGGCAAAAACACAAATCAGAACAAAAACCAAGTCACAAAATTCAAAACTTCATCAAACTACTTCGACTCTTTATACAGATCTAAATAACATTAAGAAAAATCCCAAACATGGAAATCTACTTACCCTGAGGTGGAGGAACACCAACAGGGGGCTGCTGCTGGTTGTAGTAGCTCATTGTTGTTGGCGGTGTTAAAAGTAAGAAAAAACAAAAAACCCAGAAATTTTTTTTTGAATTTTTATCTTTTGTTCCAGGGGCTGTTGCTCTTTTGCCTCTGCAATAAGTTGAGAAAAGTTATAAATGGATGGAGAGAGAGAGAGGAGAGGGGAGGAGGAGGCGTAGGAGGTTGGTTTTCGACAGGCTGTGTCGGATGTTCGTTTTAAATACGTTATTTGTTTTTTTTTTTAATTCTTTTTTATCCAATAAAAAAATTAGAAAGGCTGCAAATGTTGAATGGGGACATGGGAATTGGGAGGTGGGTTTTTATTTGGGGAAAGGGATCAGGGATTTCTTCCACTTAATCATTCTTATTAAAAAATTTAAATTTTTGAAATTTAATTCAACGACTATAAAAACGGATGCATTCTAAAAGTTATAATAACTTTAGTCATTTGATTAAATTTTAAAAATCTGAATTGTTTGATAAGGAGGATTAGGTGGAAGAAATCCAAAAATGATCCATTTCCTTTATTTAGGTCTTTACTGGGGAAGGAAAGGAAACCAAAGGGAGATTTGTTTTGTACATGCATCCAATTATCCAAATAGCATAGGTTTGTTTAAAATATCTACTAGAAGATAAGCACACACTTGTGTGTGAACAATTTCATTTTCTTTTTTGTTTTTTTTAAAGAGTGTGATTAGTTCTTAATATTACATAATTACCAATTTGTCATTTTTATGTAAATATTGTGTATCAAATGTGATGGTAAAATAGGAAAAATGAGGATATGATTGTCATTTTCTCAAAAGATAAAAAATTACTATTTTGCCCTCCTCATGTCAACATTGTGTATAAAAAAGTGAGGGCAAAATTGGAAAAAAATGGCAAAAAGTTGACAAGGAGGGTTCTCTTAATATAATAGATAGATTTAAGTGGATATATTGATATACAAGTTCGTAAAAATATTAGTGGATATACTGATATCTATATCGTTTGTCCACGATGGAAATTAAAAGTAGTTGTTGGTGGTGTTCTTTAGACCTGACATTCGTGTCGTATTTTTCGTGTTCGTATCGTTTTCGTGTTATACCTGATATCTTAATGGGTCGTGTCGTGTATGACACACCCCGTCCCGAATGAGGGCATGCTGGCCGTCACGTGAGAGTGACGTAACCATTTACACAGTTCGGAAGCTTTAAAAATACAATTATTAAGATGAAACACCCGAGGGTGAGTCCTACTTTTGTGAATTATGTCATAACACCGTTGGATTCCTCGTGGCCACCAAAGCCCTGCTATCTAGAACCTAGAGGGACGCAAAACAAAGTTGAGTGGGTCAGTAAAACAAAGTTTTTTGAAAACATTTCATTTAAAACATTTCTAACCCCTCGCTGTAAAACCTATATACTTTCCCAGAAAATAACATAATAGCATATACCTTCAAATATCTCAAATCATCAATCTTTATCAAAACCAGAAAGTATGCCATGCCATAATGTCAAAAACAGAATATGGATGCATCAATATAACAGGTGAAATAAGGAATCAACCGGAGACCCTGCAGTTGGTCCTGTACGGTTAATTATATAGCTCAATATCCAATCCAACCGGAGTCACCACAATGACATGTACGACGCTACTCTGCACGTAAGTCGGAACTATCTGAAGTAGTTTGTACAACAAGAATGGTGTAATAATATGCTCTAGTGCTTCTCTTATCAATCATCTGTGCACATAATCTAAGGTCACCTACCAGTCGGAACCACCTCTAGTGATCTGTACGACTAGCATGTCGGAACCCTCTCATGATCTGTACGACATGCATCCAAAACTTGGATACAAGGTGAGCGTGCGGTGCGATGAATACTATAAGCACTAACACCAAGGGTGCAGGTTATGAGCTCTCAACATAATTCGCATTATCACAATTCACATGATTAACATAAAACTCACCTGATACTCACATGTGCGTCCACAGCACCAATTCACATATATATGCATCAATTACTAATTCATATAATTCATAATATGCATGCATGGCATTTGAAAAACATACTTTCATTTAAATTCAATTTCTGGGAAAATCAATAGTATATAGGTAAATACAGAAAATAACTGCCCACTCACCTGGAGTTCGCCCAACAACTCCCTAGCACAACACATCAAGGAGTCATGGCGATCGGCGCCTAGAACAATAATCAAATCTAACCTCAGAAATCATATCGATAGAATATATAACTTATATAAAACACGTCACTACGTAGTTCGATCCGAAAGATCTGCAACTCATATTTCAAATCCATAACTTCCAGAGGTCCACAATATACCTCTAGGACAACATCCTAAAATTTCATTACCATCCAACGGTCGGATCTCCGTCAATTTCCAAAACCAGTGACGGTTAACATTTTATTTTATGAACTTACAACTCCAATTCCGAAAGATCCCTAAATCGGATTCCCGATCCGTAAGTTCCTATAATCCTCAAATATTACGTATTACAACGTATCAAAGTTTGGTGACGATCCGACGGTTGGATCGTCGATTCACCTTTTGGCCTAACCACGAATCGTAACGAACTTAGGTTCAATTACTCAATTTACGTCCATCAATTATCAAAACTGAACCTAGAACCTTAAACACATGCTAAGAATGACATTGGCCGGCCATTGGCCATGCGCCGCCGCACGGGCCGCCGCGGGTGGCGGTCGGCCGTCCCGGCTCGCCGGAAAATCCAACTATTTCCAAAAATTCTCAAAAAATACATAATTGAAGATCTCAATGAGTAGAGTAAAATTTATACCTGAGGCTAAGGCCAATTTTTCCTAGAAACACTTCAATTTCACCAAAATCCGTGTGGAACCCTAGAATTGGGTGAGTGAAAGAAAACATTTCAAGATTTGAAGAATTTGAACAAGAAAGTCGCGGCACCCACGGGTGCGTTCTTCACCAATTCACCATCAAATTTCATGATTTTTTGGGTGAAACATGAAGAGGGAAGGCCTAGGTGTTGATTGGAAGTGGTACCTTGATCCAATTTGTGAGAATTCCGGTGAAAATCGTCGGAATTTGGGTGTGGGTGTTGCGGGTCGAAACGGGTCGCGGGTGAAGACCTATTTTTCTTCCTTCTCCCCTCTGCTTCTCGCCCTCTCTCCTTTCCTCCTTTCTCTGCTCCGATTGGCCGGTCTCCTGTCTCTCTTCTCCCCATTCGCCAGCACTCTCTCCTTTCTCTCCCGGAGCTCTTGCTTTCTTTTCCTCTGGTTGGGCAGTTTTGCCCAATCTCTTCTTCTTCTTCTTCTTACGCGCGCACACACACACAAACCTTCTTTCTTCTCATCCCAACCATCCATTTATTTCTTCATTAAATCTGGGCCGTCCACTTTCATAAAAGAAATTCCAGATTTTACTAAATTATAATTCCTAAAATGCCCAAATTTCAAACGTTAATAAATTCTTCGATATAACTCCAAATCACGCACCGTCTGCGCCCACGCATCCGTAGCGACGAGTACTACGAGGATATGTCAAAAAAATCTTAGATGGCACGACACAACGATTAACCTCGAATAATGCGCGTGCCTCAAAGGGCATTTTTGTAAAATCCTTTATTAAAACTTTAAAACTCTAAAAATCAGGGACGGGCTGTCACAATCTACCCACCTTAAAAAATTTCGTCCTCGAAATTTACACAATCTTTACAATCCATCGATATCCATAAAACAACCTGGAACACATCCCTATCATTCGATCTTTTGTCTCCCAAGTAGTTTCTTCTGCTGAATGATTCCTCCATAAAACTTTTACCAAGTACACTGTTTTATTTCTCAGGACTTCCTCTTTCTATTCCAAAATAATCATGGGTTCCTCATTATAAGTCAAATCCGGATTAATCTTTAAGGGCTGAACCGGAATCATACACAACGAATTTGCTACTTTGTAACGAAGCATCAAAACATGAACTACACTATACACCTTATCCAATCCCGAAGGTACTCAAACTTGAAAGTATTTCACCGATTCCTTCAATAGTCAAAGACGGTCTGATGTACTTAGGATTTAACTTGTCTTCCATTTCGACCCGAACCGCACCTTTCCAAGGTGATAATTTCAAAAACATCCAATCTCCTGCATTACACGTCCGGTCAGTGGGTGAAGTTTTGTGTGGTCATGTGGGTGAAGTTTTATTTGGACTAATTCAAAGATTTTCCTAAGTTTTTGGAACATTTAGGACTTAGTTAGTTTTGTTAGTTGTGACCAACTAGGACCACACACAAGCACCCATAATTTTTTCCCTCTCTCTCTCCCGTTGACTCTCTCTCTCCCTTCCCTCTCAGATTTCCTTCCATTTCCGTACAAACTGTACGGTCAACCTCAAACTCTTTCAACTAGTCGTGGATTGACGTTAAAAAGGTGATGTTCTTGTTCCTTACAAGCTCCTGAGTCCACTCGTACAATTTTTAGGACTTGAAAGCTTGTAAAAACCGAGAAACCATAACCTCCGATTTGAGGTACTGTTCATGCACATGTAAATGTGTAGTTTTCCTAGAGTTTTGAAGTTCTAGGGAGCTTAAGGACTTCTCCACAAAGCTCGGAAAAGAAAAATGAAGTGATTTGGACGTCGGGAAACTCGGGAACAGGGAGTTGCAGGTTTAGCGGGAATATCGAAGGATTTTCCTGCGAGTTCCATCGGTTTTAGGACTTTTGAAAGGTAAGGTTTTGTTCTACTTGTCCTAAGTTTCAATTTGGTTCAAGTTTTGTGGAATTTGGTTGAGAATTGGACAAGATATAAAGGTTTTCGTGATTTTCCAGTTTCCGATAAACAGCGACTGGCGAGGCTAACTGGAGAAGAAGATAGAATATTTCGTCAGAGTTGATGGAATATTTTGATGCCGTCAGGTAAAATTAACGGTTTCTGTTACTTTTTAACGGAATATTCCTAATGAGGTTAAAGGATTCCATTAGGGTCCCTGCGCGTGGCTGTGCGTGTTGCCGTGCCCTTGCCGGCGCGTGGGACGTCGGAAATTTTTTCTAAAAATATGGGGATGTTCGTGAGGTTGTATAGATCACGTTGGTATATTTAAACATCCCATTTGAGCAATGTATGAGAAGTTATTAGCTAGTATTGGTTGTGTGCTTTAAATTAATGTTTTTATAGTTGTTTCGCATATAGGGGAGACTTATCCCGAGGACGAGCG